TGTAGTCCTGCTGACCTGCAGTCAACTTCCCATGGCAGAGGAGAACTATAAAAAGCAAAGGTCTCTCTGGTTCAGTTACATACCTCATGGAATTTTTTTCTTTTCCCTGAAAGCCAAGCGTAGTAATAAAGCTGTGAACCAGTGGACCTCTTCCATTATTTTTCTTTCTGTATTTGCCACTACAAAGAGTGTATTTTATAATATGTGTAAATAAATATATATGTGTATATATTAACCCTTATGATACTGATATTTTGAATGTCTAGGGTCACACTGAAAGATGTGAGAGTGGAATGAGAAGGAGAAGAGTATGAAGGCTGGAGTATTATCAGGAGATCTGTGAAAGTCTGAAGTGCCATTTTAAGTGTGGCATAGGGGAGGAGGTTCAAATCAAAGCCAGTGGAAATAATCTCCTAACTTCTTGCAGCTTGATGGTGGTCAACTTTACACCTAAAAGGTATTTTAAAGGCCTTTATGCTAGTGCTCTATAGCTAATACATTTAGTGGAGCTCTTCTTTACACGATCTCAAGTTGTCTGTCTACAGATGACCCTTAAGCAGTGTCTGAAGTTTGCTCACGTGGCTCTTAACTTCTCTGTTTCTGATTAAAATCTTGGCCATATGAAGCAAAGGACCTTTCAGCGGGTTTTCTGGGGTTTGCCATATTGCTTCAGACCTTTTTAGCATCTACCAAGTTTTCTTGGATTTATATATTTCTTTACAGTATTGAATTGCTGAGAGTTGTGTGCAGAAGTGCCACATCAAAGACAGTTTGATATCTGAATTAGCAGACCAAAATCACATTTCTCTGCGTAGTAAAAAGAGGCTCCACCCATGGAGGAAGATCTGAGAGGAAGATTTCCTATGCCTTGTGATGAACCAAAGGGGGCAGGTTTTTCTTAGTGAGATTATTGCATCCACCTTCTAGGAATCTATGGTGACTTCTTACAGGACTGCAATTTATGCGAAACCAGGGTAGGGGCTGCATAGGTTGAGAGAGTGCCTCATCCTGATGTCAGCTCCATGGAAGTAACTGAACGGTTGTACAGGAGACTAATGAGTGAGCCAAACGACTGGAAGAAAAGCAGAGAAGAAAGCTGAGAATGGACCTACTCAAATGATGAACTTGGGTCTGAATCTGGGCAGATCCCAGACAAATAATGCTAGCTGCATTCCTGTTCAAGGTCTCAATATTTCTTACTCTTCCTCTGTCTCCTGGGGACTAGCTTAAGAGACCCTTACAATTCTTAGCTGTGAGGGCAAGTGTGCAGTGCAGAGCTAGAATAAGAACTCGTGGGATATTTTGCTACATGGACTTTCGTAAAAATGAACCTAGTAGTCCTGGCTCAGGTGCTAGGATAGGGCAGTTACAGAGGTCAGCAATGGGAACTCAGTGGGTCCAAACGTAGAAAGTGTTCATTTTCCATCACCTCATCAGACAACTGCCTCTCAACATAGCTCACATTGTTAACAGATTCTTTGTAGGCATTGCAGCTATGTTATTTATTTTGCAGTGTGGCACAGATTAATAGTTCTCTGGCAACTCTGCCCCAAGGCTTCGAGAGCCTTTATGTAGGCAGTCCACACTCAGGAAGAGCTGTGGTAACACAGCTCCTTTGCAAAGCCTCCGAAAGAGTGGCGGGGGGTGCCAGACCTACTCACGTATATAACCTGTGGGGGCAGGGGTGGCTGTTGCCTCCTATGGATTCTGTCTGAAGCCTTCATTGAGCTAGATCGCCTGCTGCCTTATGAGTTGGGAAATGGATAGCATTGCTTTCCGCACTGAATTGAGGAAACCGTGAACAGGAACTTAGTGGAGTTTTTCTTTTTCCATGGGTATTTCTAGTGGTTGTGGAGAGGATCACCTGTTTTTATGTCATTTAGCAAACTGTAGCATGTCTGTAGCATTTGCTGGTTTCTTTAAGCATTCCTACCAATGTATCTCTCCTGTCAACCATATAAATTTAGTATTCCTTTTCCCCCGGAGGTGATTTTTCATATGGAGTATCAGTGTATAGGAAGGGTTAAAATCTTGAAGCTATTGAGTCCTTTTTGATTTGGCATTGAGTGAGCTGAAGAAAGTCTACCTGTTCTTGAGCAGGTTGCAGAGTAACTAGAAACAATGGAACAAGAGAGAAACTGAAGAATCCATTCCCGGTTCTGTGATTACAGCAGAGAAATTTGTGAAACCAAAGTACCCTTTCTGGACTTCAGGTTGAGTAGACACTATATTTGCTCTTATGTTTGAGAACTGTTTGTCTTGTGTTTGTTAACTATTGAGGTTTCTTTTCTCAATTTTTGGAAGTGAAAGGAATTCTGTGGGCTGCAACTGGGGAGTTTTGTGCAGGACCAAGGCAAGACAAGGGCAAAATTCTTTTTCAGAGACATTCTATTCTGTTTTGGAGGTTGGTCAGTTTAAGATAGTGTGTTTTTATGGCTGTGGTAAACCTGTACAAGATAATGATAGTGACTTTTTTTTTGCATCAGAAGCTGTCATCGTTCTTAGGCAGATTTCAGCTGTAATCTTTATTGCAAGTTTTATTTAAAGTTTTTGCAGACCGTTCACAAAGGAGAAACCAAATGTGCTATCTACAGACTGGTAAGTAGAGTACTTCATTAGGGCGAGACAGGTACACAAACTGAAACAAAGGAGTTTTTCATCTTTTTCCTCTACTTAACTTACTTGAATACACTATCTCTGAGAAGACAAAAGAATTAAGAGAATGATTTACATCAAGGAATTGGTCGATGCACGCTCAGTTACTGAAGATAAAAATCAGAGCAATTTGTCTGCCATCTATTGTCATCGACAATGCAATTGGCAGCTCTGATTTAGACTATCGGACAGCTAACAATTTCCATCTCCTTAACTCTGTCTTAGTCATCTGACTAACCTTGTACAATCAACCCTAGCATCTGACAGAGGCTTGGGGCTTTGATGAAACCAAGAATATCAGCCTTGGGAGTGCAAAAGAAACCAAGAATATCAGCTTTGTTGGTTTGAGAAAGCAGTATGATACCGTCTTTTATTGTCATGGCAGTTCAGTTGTTGTTTGTTGTTTCAGCTTCTAGCTTGGCATACATTTAAGATCCAGACAAGAACATATTAACTACAAAGCATGGTAGTGACTAAGATTGCTGTTTTCTGTTCCTCAGTGGGAATGAAATTCAATGAAAATGAGGTACCTCACCTGCATCAATGCTTCTAGCAATCCTTCTAGATAAATATCTAGTAAATATGTATGTACTTTAATGATAGAAAAATATGTCTTTCTGATTTTATACTGATTTTTAATTCATCTGTAATAATCAGGATAGAAAGTGGCATGTTTGCAGGAAAAGGTAGGACACTTCTTGGAAAAAGTTTAAGATTTATGACTCGAACTGGCTGTTCTGCATAGTATAACATTGCTACCTTAAAAGTAATTATTTATTTTGAGTTGCTTAAAATACAAAAAAAACCCCACCAAAAAGGCGTAAGAACTAGAGATGGAACAACCAATTAAAAGGGGGATTTTCAAAATTTGTCACAATGTGGATTATATTTTCAGAATGTTTTTTCCCTGAAACTACTTTTTCTTGCATAGTATCTTAGGGTAACTGTAAGAATTCCTCAGAGAACTGATATCAGGGCAATATTGATAATGCATTTTGTCTGTCTTATAGTTCAGAAATCCACCAAAGAGCAGGTATTTTATGAGCTACTGGGTAGATCTTGGATTTGCAACCATTTAGAGTCTGATCTGATAATACTAATTCCAACACAGAAGTATGACTACAAAAAGGTGCTGCGTTTGGGGTTTTTTTTTGGTGGTGGAGAGGATTTTAAAAATTACTTTTTTTAAAAAAGCATTTATACATTTTCTGGCAGAATATGGAATAAATTGTCCAAGATAACATGGTACTTATTAGAAATCCAGGAATGACCTTATAGGCTGGAATACCTGGGAAGCTAGCAAGACCTTTTTACTACTTATTAATTAGCATGGTTTTGTACATAGGCAGGTATCATGACACAATCCGACATGTTAGAAAAGGATGTGCCGCAGATGTCCCCTCAGTCGTAAGGCCAGAGTAAAGTTCCCATAGGTCCCTAGTAAACAATTTCCTAGTGCAGGACTGCAAAGACTTGATGTTGTCTTGAGAAACAGTATTGTTATTTCTAGGAAATGGAGCAGTGGCTGTAATTGGTGGTGAAAATCAGGATGAATGCAAGAATTCTGAACAAAGAAGCCTTACTTTTGTGCTAGGAAAGTGTATCAGAAAGACATAATTTGTCACAGTTTTTGTGAATTTGTGTTGTGTGGTTATGTCCCACCACACAGGGACTCACAGTCTCACTTTGCACTCAAAGAGACTGTGCTGCAGACTCATACCAGGACACCCTTCTCTATTCCTGTGTAATTCTCATGTTCACTTTGAATTTACCCTTGCATTTCCTTCTCATGTGACCTGATGTAGTCAATCATCTCATGTATCAGTGTTTGGATTAAGTCAGAGGTTTGTGTGTAACAGGGAGGCAAGTTTTGTAGGGAGGCCTAGAGTATTTTATTAGATCTGCTGGTTGATTTGAAAAACTTTTGGACTCGCAAATCCAGTATAGCCTAGGGGGGGTGTATATAAAAAGGGTGTTGTTCTACAGGAGGACGGACCTGCTGGGATTGCTCTGACATATTCACTCTGCAGGAGGTAGGACAGGTGGTAAAATAAACCAGCCAAGACATGGGTGTGGGGAAAGCATAGAGTAGTGGAGCAGAACCGTTCAGTCTCAGCAACAGCTAATGCCTGACAAAGTGCTATCCAAGTAACCAGAAATCTGTATCTGCTCCCACACTGACTGCTTGGTGTGGTAAAATCATTGTCTAAAACTCTCTTGACTATCCACACTTTCATTGAGGGAAGTGATGGATACAGATTTTTTGCAACTCATGGTATGCATCATTTATGAGCATGTTTGCATCATGAATGTTGTTAACAGGTCCCCGTGGCAAAGGTGCGAAGATGCTAAAGACATGGTATTCTTTCCTGCTGTGTTGGCTGTCCTTGCAGTTTGAGGCTAATCCTGGTGTTAAAGTGAGGATTACTCAGAAGGGGCTGGACTACGGTATGTCTAACATTGCCAGAAGTTAATTTATGATAAACACTCTATGCAGAGAATATAGTTCCTTAACAAAGGTGCAATGTCGAAACAAGCCTCGTAATATTGAAACAGAATAAATTCCTTTTGTTACCTCACTCCAGGAACACCCTTTGTCTATTCTCTCACTTATTTCCTTCCTTTTTGTGCACCCCAGGTGTGAATTTATCCTTGCACCGGTGATTGCATTCCCCTACAGTCCAACAGTGTTTCTCCTACATCCTTCATATCAATCTACTTTCTTAGAACTACAATGAGATGGTCACCTAATTGCTCCTTTTTTAAAAGTGTCAAAAAACTGATTTTGAAAGTGCAATATTTAATTGAAGATAATAAGACATAATTGGAAAAAAAGCTTACAATTTTGGAACAGCCACATAGCTGCACACTTTTACTCTCATTCCTCCATTTGGCATGGTATAGCATCTGCATGTGCCATTCTTTCAAAAATATCTAGTAACTGCCATAATTCTGCTGATTTCCACAATATATTTTCTTTACTCTTTCTATCATGCCAACTTTTGCTGTCTCTTACCTAAGGCTTACTCCATGGGTCTGGAGGGCACACAGTACAATTTCAGTTGTTTATAGAATTAATATTAATAATAAAGGTTAACAAGGCACAAATTCAACAAAGGCTGGGTCATGCTAAGGATTAATCATCATTTATGTTCTGAACATGCTGACAAGTAAACAATGGACTTGTGAGATGAACAGTAGAAGCTCAGGGTTTATGCCTTCAAGATGAAAGCAAGGATCAGGTCCACTTATTTCTCTCTATAAGCATTGTTATAAAGGCATTTGAGGAGTTGAGAAGTGCGGGGCAAACACCAGTCACCCAAAACAGAACTGATCTCCATGTCTTTTTATGACACACAGGAGAAATCACTCCCTAGGGGCCTCTCATGCCTTTGGAAATGAGAATTCAGCCTGGTGTTTCTTAGTGTGAGCCCAGCAGTTCTTGTGACATTCAGCATAGCCTTCAGGTGCTGAACGAACAGATTAAGTTTGCACACCCCTGCATTAGTAGTAAGAACAGACATAAACAGTATGCCTCCCAAAGGTATTTCTCATATTTGAAGAGCATGGTGCCTGTCATGGCTTTTCCCTAAATATGAGATTCAAAGGCTGAGGCAATAGATCCTGCCTGCATGCTCCGTGCCTGCCGCAAGAACCTTGAGAGAAATTCCACTGGGATCACTGGCTGCCTTCACTGACACTCATAAGAGAGCTTTAAGTTATTTCAGTCAGAGCCCATATTTTGCTTTGGAGGCAGGAATTCCCAAGGAATCATAACTTACCTCTCCTTCATAAAAGTTGCATTTTATAAAAAGGTATTCCAGTGTTGAGTTATCATTAACCTCAATTATTTGCTTTTTTAATACACTGAAGTCTGGGGGAGAAAAAAAATAGATATTTTGTATTCAGCAATTTTGAGGCCAAAAGCTGAAGAAACTCATGCTAAAAATATCTGAAAGCAGGACGTCATTAAAGTTTTAACAGTGTCTTCATCAAAGATGAGCAAAAACAAGGAAGGCACAAGGAATCTGGGATTTAAAGATGTTCTGTTTTTTGATGATAGGGTCTGTGTGTATTATCAATGCACAGGTAGCATTGAAGCATTCAGGGAAGTAGGGATTCCTTAAAGCAAGGAGAGAAGATAAGGAAATAAGTCAGTGACCTGCAGCATGCTGTAATGGATAAAGTGCAGTGGCAAAGAAAGAAACGGGAAGAAAACATTTGAAAGGATTGTCTTTAAACCTCAAACAACTTCCTGTACACAAGCAACAATCCAGATAGTTCCTCATTTGACATACCAGCCCTTCAGATGCATATATCACACTTTTTCCATAAGTAAACACTACATATAGAAGTTATCTTGCTACTTCTTAACTGGCTTTTTCATTCAACAGGTATGAGACAATCTGAGGTAAAGGTAATGATCAGTTTTTTCCCAAGGCTATCCACATTGTGAGTGAAGGAAGTATAACAGTTTCAGTAACCTGACAAGAATTCTAGAATATAAAATACAATTCAGGGACAAGATGATCCTAACAGATGATCTTGATCTTGGGTTAAATGATTTGTATGTGAGGCTAACAGAAGTTATAAATATGTGTATAAGTAGTTGGAAGGAGGTCTAGGCAAGGATCATAGAATCAGAGCGTTTCAAGAACAATGTTAAAATTGGTGATTAAAATATTTGGCAGTATATCTGGACCTTTGGGTACCTGAATCCAATCTGCAAGGCCATGTGCTTTCCTCTGTCCCCTTGTAGGCAGGAGGATTGGGATGGAGCTCCTGAAGCAAGCAGTATTGAAAGAGACCTTCCCAAGCTGGAGTGGGCAGGAGAGTTTCTCAGTTGTTAAGGTCAACTATGTAATTTCAAGGTAAGTAAAGGAAACACATTTCAAAGTTTTAGGAATAAACATCTTATGGTATTGTTACTGCATAGTAATAATTATGCAGCCATTATTTTTGTTCCTTGTAAAATTTTAATGATTCATCTAACTCTGCTCCCACTGCCCAAACACTGATTTGTTTTATAAGTACTTCCTTCTACCATACTCAGAGATGAGCTTTAGAAAGCTTCTGCATGAGCATTTTGGCTGTTTTTTCAGTTGGTTTGTCTCAGAATTTGGGGAAAAGCAAGTGTAAGTGTGGCTATAACAGAGCAGAAGAAATGGGTGGGAAAGAGGGAAGAATCAATGTTAGTCTGCTACTATGAAGGACCTATAGCAGTGAAAGTAATTTGTGTTTGATGAGAAAAAGCCACCAAAAGGATAAGATGAAAATGTGTGTAGGGGGACAGTGTATCTGGGCTGATGTGTCAAGAAGATGACTTTTACAGAATCCTTTTTGATGGATTTACAATGATAAATCAACACTTCGATTGGATAGGGCTCGATACCTATTTCCGGCTGAGGAAAAGCTTTGTACCAGGAGCAGCCAGTAGAAAAACAGGCTTGTAGAGTTTTCTACAATTTCTCCAAATAAGGAGACTAATATAAAAGGTTTTTCTACAGCCTTCAATCCCATGTTCCAGTTAAAGCTTTCCCAATAGGCTATAAACAGAAACACAGAAACACAGAAACTTCTGCTCTTTTAATATTACTATTAAGCCAAGTTCTGCTGCTCAATAGCACTTTACTTCTTTTTCCTTACAAATTACCCAGAGCAAGAAATGTCAATCTGGGAGACTTCATGTGCTTTCTGCCTGATAGGGCCTGCATCCTTTATCGATGCCTAATATTTTCCTAATAGCCTGCTTTCCAGCAGGCTTCATTGTATTATACCATCCTTGCAACCTGAATCCCTGCACATCTGAAAGAGCTGTGTTTGTTACAGTCTGGAGAAGAAGAGACTGGGGGGGTGAAGGTACGCATGTCTCCCACTGTCTGCTGGGTGGTGATTATAGAGAATATGGAGCCAGCTTCTTCCTGGAGGTACACAGTAAAAGGATCATGGGCAAAAGACATAAGTAACATCAGAAAAGTTCCAATTAGAAGTTAGGAAAAAATGCTAGGGAGCACCAAAACAAGGGCCCAAAGAGGTTGAGGAATCTCCATCCTTGGAGGTGTTCAAGACTTACTTGGCCCAGCTTTGATTGGGGGTTGAACCAGAAAATCTCCTGAGGCCCCATTCCAACATAATTTATTATATGATCTTCAAAACCCCAACTCATTCTCCCAACCATAGTTCTTGAAATTGGCCATCTTCACAGTGGGTTATCTGATTTTAGCTCACTGCAAACAAGATTACTAAAGGCAGCCTTACTGCTGCCCAACATGTTATTGGAAAATTATGGTCATTTTAACTAAAAGTAGCTGGTGCCTTCTACCCCGGGGAAAGTAGATTAAAGACAGTTGTTTTAGAGATCTCTGCCAGATATCAGGAAACAATAAGGAATGCGTATTACATGATAAGATTACAACTGATATCTTTACAATGTTCAGCTCAATTCAACACACCCATTTGCAAGACAATATCCTTGAATATCAGAAACATTCGTTTTGTCAGGGAAATCTTCAAGTAAGATTTTCTTTAGAAAAATGGATCCTCTCCAGAGCCCTTTGCTGAAGTAAGGGAAAGGATACAGAATGGGGAAAGAGAAACTTTGATGTTCTTCAGCAAATGCTAGCCTTCCAACAACCTGGATTTATTTATAGATGTAGCATCTGGGTTTAACACACAGATTTATTTTCCCCCAGTGAGCACAGTTCACTTTAAGGAGTTTTTCTCCCAAAAGGAGATTTTTGTTTTGGCCAGGCGTCTTTTTTCCCTGGGCTGATATCAAGGATTCTAGTTTCAAGGATGCTACTAAGTGTAATGGTACAGGTGTCTTTCCTTCCTAAAATATACAAGGGTCAGTCATTTCTGAGAAATTCTTGTACCAAAGCATAGACTTTGCCTTTTGTAGCGGAAGGGTTTTCAGTGATCAGAAGTCCTTTTTACTCTTTTGACATGCAGTCTAATATCCCCCTTTTTCTGTATTCTGTAGGCTCAGAATTAATGCTGTTGATTTCCCAGAAACTTCTGCTTCTTTTATTCCTGGCACTGGGATTAGTCTGTCGGTGGCACATGCTTCTGCTACAATCAGTGCAGACTGGAGAATGAACACGTGGCTGCTGTAAGTATTGTACAGTGCAATGCAGGTGCAGGGGACAGTTCTGGGAGAAGGATTGCAAATGAAATTCAGAAATCTAGTTGTCAATTATTATTTCTTAGGTCAGATATGCTTTATCAATTAACAACAATCTATTTTAATAAACTTCTTAAGAAGGAAACATTCCCTGCCAACTAATGCTTTTTTTCTTTTTTTTTAATTATTCTACCCCACAGGTTGTCTCTTTGGGAAGTATCAGGTCAGACATCTGTTAACATGCTCAGTTTGTCCAGACTGTATATTACATGATATTACGTGAATATCCAGGACCACAGAGTTTGCAATGGCCACTTTCGTTACTTTCACAAGGCACAAACATTCAGAACTTCAGAAACTCCAGAATTTGAGTTTCTATGAAAAACTGACTTAGCTTCTTGAGCCTGTCCAGTATGAGAGTGTCTTTAATGCCATGATTGCATACTGGTTGTTCCACTTTTTTATCTCAGCATTTTTTCTATAGAATTTTAATACAATATTCTAGATTTTCTTGGGGGCAAGGGGAACGACTAAAACTTCTGGGATATCAGAAAAGTTTGCAAGGTGCTAATCTCTAGAGTTTGGCTTAATGGAGTAACTGGGAACAGCAGTAAGCGTTGCTGTATTTGCGAGCCAGATAGTACAGCAAGATGGATCACCAGGCTGCAAGTTTCACAGCACGTCCTGATTTCAAAGGAGTATGGACCTGCAGTTCTGCATTCAGTCTCAGTACTGGTGGCTGGAAGCTGCCATCACTGTGCCCCCAACCTGTCTGTTTGTTCCTTCTGTCATAGCAGTACTGTGAGGAAAAGTATACTGTGTTCAGC